ATTGTACGACTCCTGATTGTCTGGGGGTCTAATCTCATTTCTCAATGTGGCAAATGCCTCCAGGATCAGACCTCCCTAGCTCATGTTAAATTGGTTACCAAATAAACTTTAAGGACCTTTGTTCATACTATCTCTGTTCCCCAGAATGGTCTGAGCACACCTTTACCTGCCTTACATCCTTTGGGATAGCATTGTAACCTTGCCAGGAATGGTTCCTGTGTCTTCCTTGAGAGTGCTGATCTCATCAACCTCTGTGTCACACTGGATACTTCTGTTAAGCTTTGTGTTCTATGTCTATTTTGATCACTAGTTATGTGTGCTTCAAAGGCCAGCACTAAGTCTAATAGAATAGCTGATTCTTATGTAGTATCTGTCATAGAATATATAATGAAAATTTATTGACTATTATGGACTAAATATTAAGGCAAGTAATATAAGAGAATTGTAAGAAGTAGCAGAAAATATGTTGGAAAAGTGATGAATTCCAACACAGAAGATTAACATTTTGTAAAATTTAGTAATTGAATTATATCTTGAAAGCTGTCTATAATTAGAAAAATAGGAAGCAAGCAGAGAAAATGGTTTCTTACAAACAGAATCCTTCCATTGGGATGATAGTATATAGAAAACACAACAATCAATTAAGATGTTTCCTTAATAGCTAAAAAGTAAAGTGGCTTTAATCAAGGTTTTGTGTCTAACTTCATCAGCGATGAGGGTAGAGTGAAGGGTTTTAAGGCAAAGAAAGAAAATACTTAGGCATCATTTTTTATTTTACTCTAGAGTAAGTACTTGGAGGGTTAGTTATATAGAAGCAATGAAGAGACAGAATCGACAAAAATACTCATCACTAAGTTTAAGCTGGACGCTGGTGGCTCACACCTGTATTCATAGCTTCTCAGGAGGCTGAGGTCTGAAATCACGGTTCAAAGCCAGCCCAGGCAAATAAGTCTGTGAGACTCTTATCTCCAATTAACTACCAGAAAACTAGAGGTGGCGCTGTGGCTCAAGTGGAAGAGCACTCGCTTTGAGCTGAAGAGCTCAGGGACAGTGCCCAGGCCCATAGTTTAAGCCCCACGACCTACAAAAAAGATTATGCAGGCACAAGCTCAGATCATGTCGGGGCAGTGCAATACTAATTGGGGGTGATCATGGTAGTGTGATTTTAACTCCAGGCCCCAGGCTTCATGCTCTTTTTCTACTTTTTCATTCACAGCAGATATTCCACCACTTGAGCCAGGAAAAAAAGAAAAGAGCTCACAACCTCCTACAATTCTGGCTTTTTTGCTGGTTAATTGGAGATAAGAGTCTTATAGATTTGTCTGCCAGGGCTGGCTTTGAACTTCAGTCCTCAGATCTTAGTCTCCTGAGTAGCTAGGGATTTTAGGCATGAGCCACCACTGGCAATGATTTTAATAAAATTCCATTGAAGAAGGCCATGAGCAGACTGCTCTTTTGAAGTCTCTACTTCTCAGTAACGTATTTACTGATAAGTATGTAACTGTTTCCCCTGTCAGTGGTGACCTGTGCCTTCCTGACTTTCTTCATGACCTTTTCCCTTGCACTCCCCAAGAACTACCCCTTTTCCATCAGCAGGCCTGGGCTAACTTCATGCTGCTCCTTCAAGAAGAGTCCTCTTTGTAAGGTCTTGGGACATTGGCAGGTTCTGACTGCTATCTGTGGTTGTTTTAATAGTCTGCCCTTTTTATCCCTTACCTCATAATGTAGAATTCTCCTTCATTCCGAGCTCATTGCTTGGTGATTTGTTAAGGCTGCGAAAACAGAAGGAATGAGGGCTTTTAAACTGGCTAGGACTAGTTCTCCTTGCTTTATTTATTTTTATGCCATGCAAAAGGAATAAAGAGGCATAAAATGGATCAAATGAAGTCAAATAAATCCAGATAAATAGAGCGAGTGACACTAAATAAAAAACTGGAGATGAAAAAGAAGCTGGGGTAGGGGTGGGAGAGGAATGGAAGGAAAAGAAGGAAGCAGTTTGCACTTCTTGTAGCGGTAGGGACTGTTCATTTTTACCTAGAGAACAAAGTGTCTTTGACCCAATGAAACACTTTAAACTAAGGTCAAGCTCTGGGTAGAAATTAGGAAGTCATCTTTATAGCCCTTATTGAAATCCCCTCACCCTGTCACTTCTTGTCATCCTTTATTAAAGTTTTGCGTGCTTCTGCTGCCAGGTCTGAGAAGGCTGACATCTTTTAGGTGTTCTGATAAATCACACCGTAGGAGCCCATGAGTTCTTACAGCCACAGGACTCTCCCCTGGTCATTCCTGTGATTATGAGGGGTGGGTTTGAAGAGGTGTAGGTCATCTCTTTGGCTCAACTCCTATCCTTTCTTTGTTTTTCTTTTCTTCTTTTTTTTTAAACAATCTCTGCTTTTACAAGGTAGAAAGAGATGTAACCACTAGGTAATAAGGCATGCAACTGGAGAATAAGGACTAGGCTAGGGAGTCTCTTCAGATAAAATTAGAAACTGTCTCTCAGCCCACTGTGTATCTTTTTAAGTCATTGCTTATGCAGGCCCTGGATTAACTCTTCACGTTCTGTACTGATAGTGTGGAGATGACTGGGCAGGAAGTATGAATGTGGTCACTGATTTCATGTGGGTACATTGCCATCATAGCTCTGTTATCTGTTACCCAGAACTTTATTTGTGCTCCGTGGAAAGACCCAACACCACCATCTCCATTTCTCACTCCCCTTTCCCCTCCTCTCCTCTCACTAGACATAGACTAGGCCATGTTCACATATATAGACAGACTCTACTATGGTTCCCCATAGGTCATGGCTGAAAGTGTGTAATGCCAACATAGATGCACTAGTGTGCCTCAGTATTGTTATGGGGGTTTTGTAGAGATGGGTTCATGGGTGCTAGACATCTTGGGGTATACAGGATGATCTCAAATGGTGGTCACTTTTTACACCTTCAATATTAGTAACACAGCTACTGACAAAAATCTGTCTATAACCAACAGTGGGAACTAGCAACTATAGTTAATAAAGGACTTTAGCTGTACTTGACTAAAGTTAATTTAGCAACTTCAGTCAATGTCTTATGTGAGTAATGGGAATATAATTTTTTTTTACTTATGTAATTGTAACCCCTCTGTACATCACCTTAACAATGAAAAATTTAAAAAAATATATACTTAAAAAATTGTACTTGATAGAGAATATCACCATTCTAATGGAACTGGAAGGGTTATTATCATGCACAAAAAATAGAATATGTAAATCGGGAAAATGCAACTGAAGTGAGTAAGCGTTTACTTTTTTTTTTTTTTTTTTTTTTTGGGGTCCGGTCATGGGGCCTGAACTCTAGGCCTGGATGCTGTCCCTCAGCTCTTCAGCTCAAGGCTAGCACTCTACCACTTGAGCCACAGTGCCACTTCCGGCTTTTTTCTTATGTGGTGCTGAGGAATCGAACCCAGGGCCTCAGGCATGCAAAGCAAGCGCTTTTAACCACTGAGCCACCTTCCCAGCCCAGCGTTTACTTTTTTTTTGGTCGTGGGGCTTGAACTCTGGGCTTGAGCTCTGTCCCTGTGCTCTTCAGCTCAAGGCTAGTGCTCTACCACTTGAGCCACAGCACCACTTCCAGTTTTCTGGTGGTTAATTGGAGATGAGTCTCACTGACTTTCCTGCTCAGACTGGCTTTGAACCAAGATCCTCAGATCTCAGCCTCCTGAGTAGATTGGATTACAGGTGTGAGCCACTGGTGCCCAAGAGGGTTTACTCAGGGTCACTGAGGGAATTCTTTGTGGGAACCATGAGGAATAGCAACCGTTTCAAAGGTATTTTGGAGATTTTCTCTAATATCAAAGGTATCTTTTTATGTAACTGTGAGGCAAAATGAAAGAGGGAAGCATAGGAATATTTCTATTGCTCATGATAGTGCTTGAGAAGAGGGAGCAGCAGGAATGACTGAAGAGGGAATTAGGACAGGGTCCAGGTGGTTTTGAATGTTTTGTGAAGGAGTCTTTTCATCCAAATGTGTGGATTTATGTATGAGTTTAGTCATCGGGGAGAGTGTTAAGTGTCTTTCCTACCTGTATGTGCTTTGCCTCAGTTTCTCCTTGTGAGCAGTTTGTGTTGTAAACTCCCTTTTGTATCTGTGGCTGAAACTTATCTTCCAGATTTTCAAGGTCTTTTTTTTCTCCAGGGCCCTTTTCAGTTTATTAATTTAAGAGCAGCAATTTTCCTGGAGGTGAATTACATACTGAATTTCCCCCCAATCTCTTTTATACAAGATATCACTGAAAAAGTATGATTAGATTCAACCCATTTGTCTCCCAGAAAAAAAATATGAAAATATCAGTGAAGGTGACTCTCAATGTGCTTAGTAGCCAAAAGAGCTAGGTTAAAGATATAACCGAGAGAACTCTTCTGCTCAGAGGATGAAAAGGTGTTGTTCAAATTATCTTAAAGAGCCAAAAAACAGCATTCAGTTCTTACTAAAAACAATTTGTTCTTGGAATGTTGTCAGCTCAAATTGTGGTCAGCTTTCGTAAATTGTATGAATTTGCACTGCATATTTTATTTAGTGTTTAGCAAAACTCCAATATGGCTCTGCATAACTTACACAATACACCGTGAAAATGACTTCAGAAACTCCCACAGAAGTTGACAAATTGGGCACCTAATGCTTTTAAGCTAATTGCATGCTTAGCGTTTAAAGAGTTGACTTGTTAAGAATGAAGATCAGAGTTTCATGGAGATAACGCTCTGCCTCCTGCCACAATGAATCCAACCAAACTGTATCAGAAATATTACAGAAGCTTAAAGAAGAAAATAATGTGAGCTTTAATCACCATCCTACTTAGTCTTAAGTGAAATGCTCATGAATCATATGAAATATCATAGCAGTTTTGCAAACTATTCTTGAATTTTCAAGCTGTTATTTTCAGGAAATTTAGAAAGCAAATTGCGAAGTGATAAAGAGTAATTTGGTACCATTGCTTATGTCATTTTTCTTTCTCCCTTACAGACTGGAAAAAAAGAAAGGAACAATACTCTGAATGCCGCTATAGACAACATGTGCAGGAAGACCAGAGACCTTCGCAGACAGGTTAGACGACACTATCATGAAAAAGGAAGCTTTGGTTAATTGCTGTAATACTTAATTCTTGCTCTTGTTCCTTTAAAATTAATTTTGAATGGGAAATAAGAAGAGTGAGTATCTATTTTCCACATCTATATGCCATGTTTGGGACAAACATAAAAAGTAGAAGAAATAATGTATGTCTCCATGTCATGCAGACCTACATTCCTATTCTAGATCTGTCCTAATCTGATTTGAGACCTCAGGCCTGGAGTCCATGTCTTCAGTCTTCTGTGAATCTATGACATGGAATTAGAAATATACAGTAGTGCTTTGATGATTAAATAAATGCGTATCATTGTTTGGTACCTACTAAAATTTTAGGGAAGATTGACAATTTGATTTTTATGACTTGAGAAACTCAGTTTAGTGGGGTGCCAGTGGCTCATGCTTGAAATTCTAGCTGCTCAGAAGTCTGAGATCCAGAGGATTGTAGTTCAAAGCTAGTACAGGTAGAAAGGACAGTATGACTCCATCTCTAAAATAACCACATTAAAAGCTAAGCTGGAGATGTGGCACAAGTGATAGAGTACCAACTAAGCAAGCAAACTTCATGTTTAAAATCTTGTACTTAGAACTGAGTTTATTATTCAAGTACTTGTAGCAAACAGGCATAACTTAGATTCCAATTCATTGCTCTTTGATTGTTTTAAAGGTCTTTCAAAAATTGTTTTCTGTTTATGTGAAAGCGACTTTTAAACCTTGGTTATCAAGAACAAAGTGTCAGAAACAATTTCACTAAAGAATTTAAATACCTAATATTATGGTACAGTTCATTTTTTTCAAGGATTAGTAAGCCTTAGCTAATCTCAAAGGCTTCTGATTTCCATTCCTTCCCACTGTCTTTAACCAAAACCTTTCCCACACATTAACTTGGCCACCATTAACTCATAAAATAGGGACCCAAAGCTTTTTAACCAAGAGCTTTTAATGCAATATATTATCGTACTTTAAATGAGAAGATTTAGTGAAATTGCTAGGGAATCTTTTAATTCAGAAGCAGATTTAGAAGTGGAATAAATAAGGATTCTCAGATCATTAATAATAGCTGTGTAAAAATACAATTTTAAGTTCGGTGAGAATCCCAGTTTCTCAACTTTATGGCCTTAATGTGAATTCTGTGTCTACGATCAGCACTTAGAATCACAGAATTTAAGAGATGAAAGGATCTTATTGGCACAGTGTGTTTTAGATGCAGAGGAGAAAGCAGACCAGTATGGTCAGGTGACTTGCTTGAGGAGGAAGGGTGATTGGCTCAAAACCTTCACCAGAACTAAGAAACTCCACCCCTTAGAGCTTTCCTCTCTCTTTATTACAATGCTATCTTTTTTCACCCTGTCTCCTCTATCTATATTGCCATAAAGAAAGTTACATATAAAGAACTAATCTCCATATACACCCCCAAAGCTTTTGGAGTTATTATTTTTCTTTAAAAAAAGTCAAGAGAAAGCAATTTCTTGCATATTGAACTACTCGATTTAGAAAATAAAAGCACAATATGCCCAGTTAAATTTGAATTTCAGATTAGCAACAAACATGCTTCAATATAATTACGTTCCAAATATTTCATGGACATATTTCTGCTAAAAAATTGTTTATCTGAAATTCAAATTTAACCAGGTGTCCTGTGTATTATTGTAATTATGCTTGTGTGACCATCTTACTGCTACCAGTAAGATAGAGAAATAGCATTGGAAATTACTAATTCTTTCTTTATAGGAGTTGTTTACAGTTTGTAAAGAGCTACTATATTCTAATGATTTCACAGGCCAACACCTCCTTTCTTTCTTTTTAAAATTATTAATGTTTAAGAGGACACCATGGATGATAGAAATCATGATGCTAGTTCTAGCTATATGATTGGTCTCTTGTGATTGCTCATGTAATGGTAGTCCAATGGGCTCTCTGCTGGATAATTGGAGCATTAGTGCTTATTCCTGTTCTTTCACTTCCTGTAGTGTTTGATCTTCCAGGACTCTTCATGCTTTCTCCAATAGAGATAACCTGAATTCATTACAACATGTCTCAAAGTGCTAAGAGAGATTGAAGCTCCCAGACTTCCTTCACTTGGAGCTCCAATGTCATGTCACTGGATGTTATTTTTACCCACATTCTGTGGATGAACTCAGTCACAAACCCCATTCTAGTTGAGCAGGATCAAGCAAGAGCTGTCTCATATAGATGTAGCTACATATTATAACAGAAGGTGTATCTTCTAGAAATAGCATATATGTGCATGTATGTGCTAATTTTTGTAGTCATCCATCATTTTCAATATTGGAGAGGTTCATTGTAGTATTTCTCTCTCATTATCTTTACTTGTTCAGCCTCTCAATACTTCATGTTCCATTCTGATGTATATTACTTTTAGTAGTTAAAACAACAACATGAGCTACTTCTCACCTGCTCTTAATTCTTATAAAATTTATCTGAGTTCGTTTTAAGCTCCTTGCAATATAATCTTTTTCACAAGAAGGGGAAAACCCTATGCATAAAACACATTTGTCTGGAGTAGTGTTCGTTTCTTGCTCTAAAACTTGTTTTACTTGTTTGCTTTTAGTAAAATTTAATCAGGACTTATCATCTTGTCCATTCATTGTTCACTACTCTCTTAACCATATTTTTTCCATCAGTAACACAGAAACATTCTAACTTTAGTAACAAGGATGATTCAACTTCCTTCCTAAGAAATGATAAGTAGCTTAGAAATATCTGAGGAGAAACAGATAATACATTTAGGAGCATAGAGATGGATTTACCAGGGGATATTTTGTATTTCTTTCTCTGTAACTTTCTTGACTGCTTTACTAGAGACTAGACAGAAGTCCTTGCCACCATGTCCTTAGTTCTTTGTGATTTGATCCTTACCATATTATTCCTTTTTGTTGTTGTTGTTATTGGTCATGGAGCCTGAACTCTGGGCCTGGGCGCTGTCCCTCAGCTCTTCAGCTCAAGGCTAGCACTCTACCATGTGAGCCACAGTGCCACTTCTGGCTTTTTCTGTTTATGTGGTGCTGAGGAATTGAACCCAGGGCCTCAGTCATGCAAGCAAGTGCTCTACCACTGAGCCACCTTCCCAGCCCCTTACCCTATTATTCTTGATGTATATTTTGTTTACAACTTTGCTTCCCAGTTTCTTCTCACTACAGGGACACAGTTACCCATTGGCTGACAAGAGTCTACTTACTAATTTCCAAAAGTTTCGTCATCTCCTTGCCAAACATACCTTTGTCTTTGCAGGCATTTCCATGTCCCTGTTTTTGGAATGATGCATGTAAATGGAATACTTACTTCCCTTTCTTTTCCCCTCCTAATCGCTGATCTCTAGGCTAATATAAGTGTAACTTATTTCATTAAACCTTTTCTCTTTTTACCAACTGGAATTAACATTTTTCTTTCTGGAGTACTTATAATATGTTGACTTCAATTATAATTTTGTTTGTGTTTTGTTTTGTCTTTAAACATTTTTTTCTTCCCACTGAACTATATGATTTAGTAATAACAATTAGGAAAAGATCTCTCATTTATCAACTGCTTTCAAAATCTTTCTACCAAGTGCATTCCTCACTTTACTGATTTTTAATTCCTAAAACCAGAAATGGTGTCATTATCTCAATCTCTCAAGTGAGTCAATTTACTGAATATCACCCACCTAACTGGTAGAATCATGCTCCCAATGCAGACTTCACGTTTGTAACACCACATCAGTTCCAGAGACAATAACACATTCACTTCCAGAACCACCAGGACCACTAATTTTTAGCATCATAAACCTTTTTTAAATGTTTTTGTCCCTTACTTAATGTGCTTTGTAAAAGTTAACTTCTTTTTTTCTATGATTTTAGAATTGCATATCCATCAGATCTTTAAATAAAGGAGGGTGATTTTTGACTATCTGTTATATATATGTTTTGCATATCTGTTATGAGGCAAATATATATATATATAATTTCTATTCTCATATGAAGAATAAAATACATAATTGATTTTCTATAAGCATATTCATAGCTTATTTGTGTACATGAAATAAAAAATGCTTTCATAGATGCCAAAGTAAGGATGAGATACAGAGAGCTTTTAAAGTTTTTTTTAATCCAGAAATGTATTTATTTTCAAATAAAATATAATTATGGTAAAAAAATCCCCACAAATAAGACAAGCAAAACAAAAATCTTTACTGATTCTATAATTGCTATGTTGCTGAACTGCTATTTCCATCTTCTTGCCATGTGGATGATGCTAGTATAACTTTCAGAGGAAAAAAAATATAGGTTCTTAAATCTCACCATCATCATTACCACCACCATCATCACTGTCACCATCATCGTTCAATTATTTTGTTTCCATAAGTACAAATTTTGCTAAATTGCTACAACAGCTATACATTGAATTCTTAGTTATTTTAAACACATTCTTCAATCAAGCTTTACAAATTATATTTTGCTCTATTGCTTAAAATTAAATTGGCCTTAATGGGCATAAATACGGGTTTTTCCAGTTCCCGTGATTGTTTTTTACATGTTTATTACATGTGATTGTTTTCTCATGTTTCACTTGCTCTTCCCATTATATGTTTGTTCTTTCTGCTCCTGATGGCAGGGCTTTCTTGGAGTTTTCACACAGGTCTTTCACTTTTGAATTTTGGTTGTAGAGAAATATTTTATTTGAGATCCCAAACCTCTGATATCAGTGGGAAATAGAAGAATTGATGTCTCAAAACGTTTTATTAAACTGTAGTGAGAAAAGATGGAAAGCTCCTTGGTTTGGTTTTGTTCTGACATTGTTCATGCCTGGCTGCAAACCAGTTTTTATTGAAAATACATGCCTCTAACTCGTGGTGGTTTTCCCCTTAACTTCAGATTTTTATTACTGTGGTTGTATTTTTGCATGGACATATTAGATTCATTGTTAATTTTTTTTTTATTTTGTATGCCACCAAGTGAAAGCAATGCATTATGCCCACTGGACAGGAAAACTGTATGGAACTACATAAGGTAGAAGCCATGTAAATAGTATATGTAAAGATGACTATGCAGAGTAATGAAAAAGTCCCGTAGGCGTATGTTACAAGGTAAAATTTGTTAGCATAACATTTTTGTCATCTCTCTCTTGTTCTTGTCTGTACACCTCGTCCTGTAATAATACTTCGTTCATGGTCATTGCAACATAGGTCAGGGCAGAGATATGCCAGTGTGGCAGAACGTGATCAGCACAGATTAAGGATGATTAGTAGTCTGGTAGTTGGCTCATGACCAAACACTTAACACAAGGGTGTGGTATGTGTTTTATATTGGGTTCACCTTTGTGAAAATGGAGCCTTAGTACAGGATTTGACTTCATTTAGTTTATTTGGGATATAATTTTAAAAAATGAATGTAAGAGAAGCATACAAATTGAGTTAGAGAGGAAAAGGATACGCTACATGCTGTGAAAGGTAAAGGAGCTTAGATCTTCTGATAACCCTCAACTTGTCTGACCAATGGATGGAGAATAGGAACTTTATTCAGTGACTCCTATTCCATAGCTCAAGGGTGGTGCTTCCCACTCTGTGCAGTTTCTAGAACTTTTGAGATGCAACTGTTCCTTGGTTGCGAATCCCCCAGAGACTTAGAGAAGCTCCTGAGACAGGAAAACAAGGAAAAGTATGGACTGTTTTTATCTCTGAAGACAATGTGAGACAGGTCTGGAAGATCAGCTGTAAGACACAAAAAGCCCCTGATGGAATCCATAATGCTAAAGTATGATCACGAAAGGCCATGGGAATTAGGGAATCAGCAAGTCAGACAAAGACTAAGCAGAATGTAGTGTGTTGGTTGAACTCATTATCCTGTTTTCCATTTGCATGGGTTCAGATGCTGTTCATAGAGAAATACTCCCTACCTGATGATTGCTTATGATCTCCTACAGTGCCTATGATTTCACTTGTGCCTAAGACAAGTTGATAATTTCTACTAATTAACTCCTGTCATGAGACAGAAAGGACAAACATTTTACAGTGTGAGACAGTGGTTACTTTCCACTTCACTAGATTTTTTGCACTGATGAAAAATCGCTCTGTTTTGGATAACCATAAGAAAGTAATCCGACTTTTTAGATATCATTGAAGATGGGAGCAAATATTTATGTACAAATGCCCATAATTATTACATGTAGATGTGTAGAATATGCTGTTTTGGGAACTTGATTTTCTCTCTTTTCTACTGAAAGCAAGGTGTTTTTAATAAACACCTTGCATGATAGAAATGTGTGATGGAAATGCATAATCTAGTGCGGGTGATAAATATTAAACATTATAATAAAACCAAGACATGATGGCATATATGCATGTATACTCATATGTGGATACTCACGTGGATATGTGTATATATACACATATTACATGTCATGTGGATGTAAATATATGTGTATGTGTATATGTGTGTATGTGTTCCAAGAAGAGAATAGTCAAATTGTATAAAACATTTAAGTTTTCTTTGTGTATGTGGGTATGTTTGTGTACTGGTACTGGGGCTTGAATACAAGGCCTCAGCCATCTTGCTTGGCTTTTTCAGCTCAAGGCTGGCTCTCTACCTTCACTTCTTTTTTTTTTAAATTTTTTTTTTTTTGGTCCGGTCGTGGGGCCTGAACTCTTGGCCTGGGCACTGTCCCTCAGCTCTTCAGCTCAAGGCTAGCGCTCTACCACTTGAGCCACAGTGCCACTTCCGGCTTTTTTCTTTTTGCTTATGTGGTGCTGAGGAATCAAACCCAGGGCCTCATGCATGCAAGGCAAGCACTCTACCACTGAGCCACCATCCTAGCCCCTCTACCTTCACTTCTTTCAATTTTATAAAAAGAATTTTTCTGGGGGCTGGGAAGGTGGCTCACTGTCTTGCATGCATGAGGCCCTGGGTTCAATTCCTCAGCACCACATAAACAGAAAAAAAAGCCTGAAGTGGGGCTGAAGCTCAAGTGGTAGAGTGCTAGCCTTCAGCTGAAGAGCTGCGAGACAGCGCCCAGGCCCAGAGTTCAGGCCCACGACTGACCAAAAAAAAAAAAAAAAGGATTTGTCTACTGGGTTTAACTGCTAAGAAGTTTTGGTAGGATAAATATCTTTGAAGAGTAATGACATAGATTTCTTTGAAATTTTGCCTTTTAGTTCTTGGTGATTGGTTCTGTTTGTTTTGTTTTGGAATTTTATTTAAGTAGTTGTACAAAGGGGTTTCAATTCAATACGTCGATCTGTGAGTCTAATGCATCGTGATTAATGTCACCCCTTCAGACACTCTTCCCCCCATCTCTCCCTTGTTCTTTTTGTACATTACCGTATTTTTCTTTTTTGATATTACCTTCCATCTCTCTTTGGGTCCTTCTCTTCCATTTACCTGATTCTCATAAACAGTAATGTTTCTTGGGATTTTATTCATAGATGTCTCCTCACTGTCTGTCTCCCTGCCATGGCCCCTGCCTTGTCTTCTCTTGAATTAGCCCTTGTGCATTGATTCTTGATGAATGAACTTCAGTGCTTTCACAATATGTCTCTCATGTCGAAGTTACAAAGAAAAAGGATAGAGGGAACATGGATCAAGATATATTGTATTTACAAACTGTTTTGTTAAATGGCGACTGCATTGTACGACTACTTAAAGATAATAATAATCATACAGAAATAAAAGGAGAGAGGAAGGTCCAGTCATTGAAATCGGTCACTCTCTGAGGGATTCCTGGTGCTTTTCTCTTTATGTCTCTGAAACTTATATGACAACTTCTCACACCCAATCCAAACCTATATCCACTTGCTCGACTTTACAGATCCATTTCCCATAAGCAACAAATACATTGTTCATGCACTTAAGGTCTTCCTCCTTGCTAGTAACCTCTTAGCACTCTACACTCTATCCTAACAAGTGCTCAGTAAATATTAATTTCTTGCAATTAGCGATTCTCTTTTCTGCATGCTGAGCAGTATCTTTCCCTCCAATATTCCTGCAGCCTTTGTTGGGACGGAAATTTTACACATCTTCAGAGCATGATCTACCCACTTGGGCAGAGACATTGTGTTTCTCCTAGAAGCCTGTAATTATTATGGATTTCATTTACTATTTGTTCCTGTAATTATCATAGAAGACTGTGCTTCTTAAAAGTGCATCTCAATCATTCAATTCTGAAAGTATATTCCTAGTAATTCTCACTGATCAAACACTAAGCTGTATTTTGGTCTAAAATACCCTAAAATATAATTTTCACAGAAGATAAATTACAATTTTCCTATCTAATATTTATCTATGTTTTGTTGCATAGAGGTTATTAAACTAAATGAGGAGAGTGATCCTAACACCTCTGAGCCCACTCACAGTCATTGATATTATTAATGAAACATTTCAGGATATTCTGATCCTTAAGGACCTACTATCCTATAAACATAATGAATTAATTTTCCAATGTGGTTTTAAATCTCAGAAAATATCTGCTGAGTAGAGTAATTATCTGGTTGTCATTTATAAGCTAACATGTAATCTAATTTAAAAGAACTAATTGTAGCAGAATGTTATAGTTGTTTAATCATTTGAGGTATGAGGGCAAGAACAATTAAAGCCAATGGAGAAAATTGGATATCAAATTCATTTATTCTTCTTCTTGCTCTATTAATCTGTTATTATCCACCACAACTGGTGATCTAACTTGGTTTAATTACCATGAATTTAGCTAATCAAAATTTATCATCAGTTTTTCTAATAAGGTGGAAATATTTTATCATCTGTAATTAAGAAAATATAAGCAATATGTTATTTGCACATATACATAAACATTTTAGCAGTGCAGTTTCTTTCAGGAAAAAGTAGTTTTATGACTTGACTTACAATTGACTTATGGGCTAAGAACAATAGAAGGAAACTTACGACTTTGAGGAGCAAGGAAAGTGTTGATGGATAATTTTTCCCTGGATATTTTTCTTACTTCAGTAAATGACCTTCACACACGCACACAGTTTAATATCATTTTAGACATTCCAATAGCAATGTATAAAATGAAATCTGTACCCTCTAAAATCATAAGAATGGTATGTAACATGAATCTTTCACTGGAAAAAAAAAGGTTGAATTTTTTTATTTCTCCTCAGCTCCGCAAGGCTATTATAGATCATGTGTCAGACTCTTTCTTGGATACAACAGTCCCACTTTTGGTTCTCATCGAAGCTGCTAAGAATGGCCGGGAAAAGGAAATAAAAGAATATGCTGCAATATTTCATGAGCATACCAACAGGCTCGTGGAGGTAAGCATGCTAAAATGGCAACCACTCTAAATCCATGAGAATGTGCCTCCATTTCCTATTTACAGTGAACTGTCCTCAGATAAAACTTTTGAAAATGTATGACAAATGTGGCAGAGTTGGGCCTAAGCAACAAGGTGGGTGTCAGCATAAAATATCCTCTACTAACTGGAAACAGAAGCCATTTATTGAAAAACAGTGGTGAAATAATGCTCACTGTTGTTCTGATTTTTAAGTATGTGTATTACCAAAGCCATAGGAAAGAGCCAGCTAAATACAGATACTTCATTTTATCCAGACATTTTCTTTTCATTTGAGCTTAAAAAGTTTCAAATATTCTCTTAATGCAATTTTATTGTTTTCTGCCATGTTTTCAGCTTTTTAGAGCTATTCAACTATGTGATATGAATATAGAAATTGAATGTAGGATATATCAAGGCAGAGAGATCCATGAATAATTAAGTAGGGATGGTGAATTCAGAGAGAGGCTATGAAAATACAAACTATAATTCCCACCTATTTAAGAACTGGATGCATGAGGGATAGAGGCATAGAGAGCTAGCCTACCAAGCTTTCCATGAGTACCAAGTTCAGATCCTCGTATTACCAAAAAGACAAAGAAAAAAAAAGATTGAGACACTGGAAGGAGGGTTGACTGATGCAGCAAGATGGCATATTGGTGAAGAATTCAAGAAGGGCTGGGTGGTTTCTCCAGAGGCAGACAATGGAAACTGTGGCCTTATGGAATATATACCACAGCTGTAGTATAACAAAATGCTGGAATAGAAGAATTTCTAATACAAGTAAGATGAAAATACAAAGCCAGGGACCAATGACAAAAAGGGGGATAATGTCATTTATAGGTTTTGTATACCAGAGGTGATCATTAGTTGTCACTCATCAACAACTGTACCAGATTTTATGTCTAGTGTGCATTCAGATTGTCAGTTCTCATGACTTGCTGATTATTAAATGTCTGAATTACCACACCTTCCTACATCAGTTGTGAACTCCGTAGTGAAATATGTCTTTGTGGCCTAAATTGCTTATGAGATGCAAGAGGGAGAAATAATTACTGCCTATCTGAGTTAGAATCACACTTAATCTAACAACATAGAGGATTTTTTTGAACTTCTTTAATGTGAAAGCATTGGGAAGGAGATTTCTAATGCAGCTAGCATTTGTACTGTAACCCTGAGAGATTCTAGTCTCCAAAATTGAAAAATGAGTGAAAAGGAATGATATACAATTACTAAAATCATTTAAGCCTTAAAAGTGCTTTACATCCAGTTTGGACATTGTCTCCGAATGTTCCCAGAACTCTGTAAGCTAGAGTAAATAAGACAATCCCAACTGGATTTTATGAAAATAAAGGTAAAAAAGCCAAAACAGATGAGATGCTGGTTTCAGAATTATAATTTTTAATGAATCAATTCAGCAATTTATTGTCTGTCTAGTTTTGTTTATTCTTTTAGATGCTCATGTCTCAAAAATTTAAAAACTATATCCCTAATAGAGCATAGACAGCAATGGGACAGATAATAAAAGCTACCTATTTACCACAGCTCCTGAAAGTTGACAAGCTTTCATCTAAAACTATATTCTCTGAAATGAAGGTTTACCAAATTATGAAAAGAGATCACACACTTTGTGTAGTGCTTTGAAACTAAAATTTGGTTTCTGCTGATAAAATTATATTTCCTGTTTATGAGTTTTAGGCAGAAATATTAGCAAATGCTCATTGAAAAAGGCACCTTAGTCAAACAACTCTAATAATAAAAAAGTTCTTTCTCCTTTTGGAGATCTTGAATTAAAGGCTATTTGAAATTTAAATTTAGTCCAGAGTTTCCTCATGTCACTTTACCTAAGGAACATTTTTCCTTCATTATATATTACCAAGATATTGTCTTCAGGAATACTTGGGATCACTATTTTTTTTTAAGCAAAATGATGGTAAATTCTTATGCTTTTAAGAATTTGTTTTAAATGTTTAAGGATTTTAAAAGTTCTCTAATCCATATCACTATTGAAAAATAAAAGCTTTAGAATTATGAGCTACTGGGAGACTGTGAATAGATATTACTTAAATCCCTATATTCTCTTAACACATTATAAAGTGATTATACTAGATTAAGAGTGATATCCTCTGAATCTTAGACCTAAATAAATTTCTGTTCCAAGGAGCTTTTACTAATACAAAAAGTTTTGTTAAACATAATAGCTCAAAACAACTATTTGTTATTATCTCACTAATCTGTGGGTTTTCTTGGCAGAGCTGGGCAATTCCTGCTTAGGGTTTCTTGTGTGATTCCTCTCAGACACTGGCTGGGGATGGACGCGCTCAAGGCTTGTCTTGGTTGGACATGCAAAATAGCACAGTTACATGAACAGGCATTTTTAACTGTGAACTAGAAAGGTTGTGGTTTTGAATACAACATCACTACATGGCCTTCATGGGAAGGACATAGCTTCTACTTCACACAGATCGTTTTGGGGTTCTAAGATGATAAGAGCTAGCAAGAGACAGGAACTAAGATCAGCCATCTCCTTCAGGATTGGGCCCAGAGGTGGCAGATGTGGCAGAAAGCCACATCTACTGTATTCTGTTGATGTAGTAGCATAGCCTTCTAAACACAGGGGGTGACAGTAACAACACTCTATCCTCAGTGGAAGGAATAGCTAAGAACCCACAGCCACCATTAACCTAATATACTTCTTGGGGTCTCATTTACTTTATCTGCAATATGAAGTTTAGACAAAGATAGGGTCTAAGGTCTTGCACAAGTTTTTTTTTTTTTCCAATTGAGTGACTTTTCATTTCCTATGAGCTAGAGAAACAGCAGAAAATAAGTGTTTTTAAGTTTACATCTTGAACTCATTCTCTTTTTCTCAAGAAGAATAAGAGTTACTGCACTTATTTCCCAGGAAAGTCTTTTTGCTGTTTTTACATTGAGTTGCTTAATGAGAGCAACAGAAACGCATTGCTTATCCTAAAATATTGAAGTAGAAATGTCTCTGACTGAGTCCATGGAAATAGACTGCCAAATATATTAGTTTCCAAGGGCCTTGTGCCTTCTCCTTATATAGATTGATTCTCAATTCACCTACCAGTTCCCTACACAGACAAAAAACATATACTCATCTTATTCCCAAGTGGGGTAATTTGATATCAGGACAGAAAGTCTTAGATTCTAAATGATTTGAAGAAAAGGCTATTTCAACATATCTAGGTTTTGATAACATAGCTATGTTTGTCAGAGAAATCTGGAAGAAATCAGTGAACTTGTTGAAGTAAGACTTAAATGGGATTAGAGGTCCATTTTTAAAGACCCTATCAGATCATTGCAGATGAACTCTACAGTGTTATAGGCATCCTTTAAGTAATGGCTAACTTGTAACTTTCACAAAAAGATAGTAAGACATGGAACTGAATTATGTGTACAATAATTTGGACTTTGAGATGGAAAGCAGGAGCAGGGTGACTGATAAATTGGAACTGTGCATTCATGTTCTTTGGTGAAGCCATATTTGAAGCTGCCTACCACATTATCATGTAGTTTGCTGTAAAATGATTGTGACTGAAATGATAGTTTAAAAATAACCTAGATAGTGCCAGTAATAGCAAATGGGTCTTTGTTACGTCTCTTACCTTAGTTATGCATAACTTTACTCACTTTGAGCATATAAGTTATTCTCTTTTGTGGATCTACGGAGCTAGAGTGAAAATGGTATCTGGGAGTGAGGAGGGTGGCATTTTAAAGATCATCTTCACATAGTGATTAACAATGAATGGCAAATATGGCTATTGAATTATGACCCGAAGTACTTGGAGCTCATTTTGATGGCGAGTTAGAGCTCCATTAACTCTGCTGACTTCCACTAATAATATCTATTGAAAGGGAAGGTAAAAATACAAATTTTATCTTAAACCAGCCCTCCTGGAGTAACGTTTTTATTTTTACCTCTATTGTTTTATGGCTCTTGTAAGAGCAAAGGCTAAGCAGCCAGCGCTTAATAACTCCCCCATTGAAAAATCGGTTGATGTTGAGATGTTGAGTTGAGATGGCAGCATCGAGACATGGGATATATCTAAGCCCAGTTTAAGCCCAAGGCCTCTGTATGCTCCTACATGTAGGGTTTTAAAATAATTTCCCCAATGATATAGGAAATGCTATTGCAATTAATTGTCAAGAGCAGACTCTATATACTCTGGTCCACATCTCCTGCAGAGGATTTTGTGACAACTGAACACTTTAAAGCATTGGTGCCCCATTAGAGATGTGCTTTATAAGTTTTATTACATGTTAACTATCATGAAGGAGAATGCCATTATATTTGATAGATGCACTGCTTATTATATGACTATTATGTAATATGTTTCCCAAACTATCAAATGCCATTATTGTTTTTAATCATAATTGCTGGTCTCAGCAAGTCAGTTCATGCTGAACACTGCCATCCCTAGCTAACTCCATGGATTTCACCATGTTACTTCGCATTAAATGTGACAATGGTAATGATGTAGGCCTGAAGATTATCTGTGAATTAGAGAAATTTCTTTTTGTGAAAACCCAGCTTTGTTAGTGCTTTGACTTACTCATCAAAAATTCATCTATCTTGATGTACCTTATTTTAGTATGTTTCATGGGAGCCTTTCATCAAAAAGGAAAAAGTGGGTGGACATTTAATTATAATACTTTCCTACAACCTACAAAGCTGATTGTTCCCACTCACAAAATGGTGAGCCAGATTTAGCAAAACCCTCAGTGCCAAGAGAAGGCTGTAGAGGGATTTCTTGCTGTTTGCAAGAAGTTCTGATTACTGTCAGCTCCACTAATATCTTTGCTTTTTGACAAAACACTGTTCGAGTTTCACACTTTACTTTAATTGATCATCTGTTATCAAATAAGGATATGTTCGATTATAAATAAATACAGCTTTTAGAATACTTTCTTCCTCTTCTCTCCTTTGAAGAGACAACAAAAACTCCTAAACCTATACTT